CCCCCCCCCACACCCCACACACCCCCACACACACCCATACACACACTCTCTCACAAATCCTCTCCTCCATACACATCTGTACACATGAACATAATAATAATAATAGTTTAATAGTATGCTTGCATTCACAAACAGGCTCAGAGTCACAGCCACATGCATACATATAAAATAAATGAATAACAATAATTGTCAACAGCAATAGTGTTATGCTGGGTATATAAACAGAATTGGCATCGGGAACACTCCATAATGGCTCACGGGAGCGCGCTTAAATACAGAAGGAAACGTGTATGTACCCTCTTCGATTGGCGACTCACTGTTGCCCCGTGGGTATTAGATGGTGCTTTATATTTTCCCTTTCCACTCTTTTCGTGAGTGTAGCTTCTACAGGCAGCCCTTATCAGTTATTCCCTATACTTCTCTTTTTGCAATCTTCTGTTTTCTTGCCCCTCACTTTTGTCTCGTTTGCCTCCTCCCCCCCCCTCTTCCTTCCATCTTCTAACTCCGTCTATTAGTCTTCACCCTCTTGTTTTACCTCTGCCCCCCCCCAACCTCTAAAGTGTTACCCACAGTCTCCTTTCATTTGATTTTTAAAAGACACATTTCCCTTAGCTCTCTTTCTCTCTGTCTCTCTGTCTCTCTGTCTCTCTGTCTCTCTATCTTTCTGTTCGTCTGCTGCATTCTCTATCTCTATTCTTTCTGTCTGTCTTTCTCCCTGCATGTCTCTCTGTCTGTCTGTCTGTCTGTTTGTCTGTCTGTCTGTCTGTCTGTCTGTCTATCTGTCTGTCTGGCTGGCTGCCTCTCTCTCTCTCTCTCTCTCTCTCTCTCTCTCTCTCTCTCTCTCTCTCTCTCTCTCTCTCTCTCTCTCTCTCTCTCTCTCTGACGTAACTTGTTCCACTCTTTATCTTCGCTTCTTTTACCCGTCTGATCACTCGACCATTCCAATAAACTTAACACCATCAACTTAGTTCGGCAATTGTGTCTCTATGACTCTATGATCTGTTTTATGAATGAATTGGATTATCAACCCGATGGACTAACAAAGAAACGAC